GTGTGCGCGTCTCCAAAACGTACCCGTTTTCTAATATTTTTAGAAAAATCGTTTCCACGTTTCCAAACGTTTTGTTTCCACGTATCCGTATCCGTTTCTGTTTCCATGCAACCTAGCTTACGACTTGTGTTAGTTGAAATGAGTATTGGAACAATCAAAATGTGGTGTTATTAAATTGTATTAGAGTAATTTAATTGACTCCAAGCAATATATATAACTTATCCAAATAATTAAACTACCTTCACATATCAAACAGACAAACAAAACAAGATCGGTTTATAGATCTAAAGAGGTCTCTCTACCCTCTAGCTTTAGTTTCCTAATGTCAGTGACCAAACCAGTTCTAGTCTATTGTCTGAGCCTGTGGTGGACCGACCTGAGTGCTTGCTGGCTCGGCTGGCTCGTGAGCATTGTTTCTCCTCCATTTCATATATTCGCTAATCGCTGTTGCGCCGGTCATGGTGAGTCCGAATCCGATCATAGTGGCTAAGACAATGCACATAACTGGCTGCTTAACCTGCACACCAGTTCATGAAAGTTTTGTGAGGAATCAAGAACCAGAGCTTCAACAAAGTCAGATTACTTTTTGAATTCTATCTGAGACATTACATCAAATCTTACAACTGAGTAGAAAATATGAGCGACAAGGACCACGAAAAAGAACTGAACCGTTGCGAAGATCCACACATAGTTCTTCTTCACTGCATTACATCTGGTGGTTAGCATAAGAGTACAAAAAAGTATAATTTCAAAGGATTAGATAACACTTATATTACCCATTGCTGTTGATGTCATAGATGCAAGAAGACCGATAATGCAAGAGAACGGTAAAGCTATTGCAACAGCGCTAGATTTCATTTGCATAACCAGAAGCTGCTCGAGGAAACAGAAGTATGCAAGCATGCTTACAATGACAAGAACTGGCACATCTTGCCATTCATTGAACTGTGAAAGCTCCATATTCCTGGCTGCTCTAGACGGTTCCTGAGACTCCTGAACACGAAGAAGAGTCACGGGGAGATTTNTCACCTCTTCCTTACACACATCACATGTTATGTTCCCTTTAATTGTGAACCATTTAATCGTGCACGATTTGTGGGCAAGAGCTAGTTCCCCTTTGCACATACATTCCATCTTGAAAGCCTCCGAGTCTTCTCCTAATTCCACCATACAGATTCTACACACAGCTTCCTCTTCGGGTACATCTTCTCCTCCATCAACAATTTCATCTGAAAACATATCACTAAATATAAGATGGGTTTGTTACACCTGATCAAAATGTCGCGTCACAGACATTTCTGAAAGGTGATATCTAACCGTTGAGTTTACTCATTTTCGATGCCTGCACCATCTCTAGACCTTCATGATCCCTACGAGATGGAGTAGGAATCACACGGAGAACCCCTAACTGTTTTACACTTCCATCTTTGTCGATGAGCGCTGGAACAGAGCGCGAACGGTGAATAGGAAGTGCACGTTCTCTTTTCTAACAAAAAGAACAGTCAAATCAGTAATCAAGTTAAAGCAGAAAGATAAGCGAATTTTTTATTTCATCAATCGAAATACTCTACAAGACAATCTCCCTTGCCAGTATAACCAAGTTTTGTAAGATTCAATACTGACCATGGAAGTGACTTGATCAACCGCATAGCTCCCGTGCATGGACTCAGGATTTGAGTGAGCTAAAGGAGTTACCGGTAAAGACTCGGGCTTCTTGTATTTTCTAGGAGTTAAGAGATTAGTGAGAGACCATGTTCTTGGAATGAGAGACTTCTTATCTCTGTCATCAAACACCAAAGCCACACCTTCCTCGATATCTACATTGTTGTTCCGTTTTTTGAAATTTATGAGATTCTTTAGGTCCGTTCTGCTTCTTGACGAGGAAGGACTCATTGATCCAACACGTCTCCCAATTCTAGGGCTTGACATTGGAGAGAACTTGAACCTTGTGAAAACAGGACTAGGAGTTAAAGATCCATTTGCTCTCAAGAAATCGACATGAGCGTCTTCGTGTGCTCTGGATTCTATATCCGACACTAGGCCTCTCCATCTTCGGTGTTGGCTCGGTGATAACTCTTCCGTTATCTCAACAGAATCTCCATCCTACAAAACAAGAAGTTGAAACTGAAGATGATTCTCGAATCAGTTCCTTTAAAAGTTGATTCTTGATAAATCATCAAAAGCCTGAGTCTCTCTGTTCCTTAATCAGCAATTACTAAACCCTAAATTTTACAGAATTTGTGACCTTGAAACCAATAGAATTCTCCAAATTTGTTCCAAAAATGTCAGCAATTCGCGTTGAAAATCCGGAAGCTCACCATAATCGAAGCAATTCCATGACTTACAAGTTGCATAAACCCTAATCTCATAAAACCCTAAAACCCTCAAGAACTCAGCTAAATCAGAGGAAAATAAGAAAAAACATGAACTTTGATTATACCCACAAATTAAAACCACTACAGTGAAACTAAAAACCGCTATTTTCCGGGAAAATTCAAGATTTGGTGGAATTGAGTTAAGAGTGAGAAAACTCACCATTAGAGCTGGAGAATTATCTTCTTGGGAGCTATGTTCAACTTCGAGAGGTTTATCTTTATCATCCATCATCGAATTCAAAACAAAACCCAGAAACAGTAAAGTGAAAGAAAGAATCTCAGGAAAACAAAGTATTGATCTTTGAGAATGATAAAAAAAAAAAAACTGATTTTTATGAGAAATTATCTGTTTTTAAAGAAGTTTTCTCAAGAACACTCTTTTAGGTTTGCTCTCAAGAACATTCGTCTCAGTGTTTGCCCCGTTTCTCTCTACTAGAAGCGTAATTTGGATTCGGCGGTTTTATTGTTTTTTTTGTCTCTATTACTAAATTAAATATTTTTTTTTTTGTTTTNATATAATCCTTAGTTGTATCAGAGACTAAAAAATTCCATGATACAATTTTTATATGATTTAAAAAATTATACAGTCTTTTTGTCATATGCTTTTTATTTATTTTTTAAATGTTTTGCAAAGCTTTATCACCAACAGAACAAAAAAATTACATTAATTGCCTCTATTTTTGGAAAAGTGGAAAATAAATTTGCAAAAAGAAAGCTTGATCAAAGAAGAAAGAAATTTGGGAAAAGAATAGAAGGAGATCAAATTCTGGTACCAAACCAGATTTGGAGAAGAGGATCATATTTTCTTCCAATAATTTTAATTTTTCCTATTTTTTATTTTGCTATTCATCATATTTTACCACTTATTGATTGTTCATGTGTTTGAATTTACATAGAAATTTGATAATTTTCCTACAAAAATAATTTTAAAACACACTAGCCAACTTTGAATGCAATTTTGCTATCCATCATTTGAGATTCATCATTTGCTAATAATACTAATACGAGAAACATATTGTGAATTTTTAAAACCAAAAAGAAATTTTTGAATTCATGATGTCAGCAAAAGAATCTACACTGATTTTTGATTTACAACATTTCAGTAAATAATTGGGTTGATGTGTATGAAGTAAAACATGAGATCTATTTTGGAAATAATATAAGTTGGAGGACGAAAGTAGTATTTGTCTTTTTCCATGTTTTGACCACCTATTTTTTTTATGTTGCTAGCATTTATGAAACTGGGCCTTCTCGGCCCAACAATGCTGCTAACACGCGACTGGGACCACTGGGTATTCGACCCAAAACGTAATATATATTTTTTTATAATTAATATATTTTGCCAACAACAAAAACTATTGAAAACCATATTGTTCGGTTTAGATGGGTAAAACCGAATTTTTAATATTTCTGAACCGAAGATAATTATTATGATTTGTATATAAATCTTTCTTTTTACCAACCTTTTGAAAATCAGAACATTTTTCTAATCTTTGTTTAAAGTGAAGTGATCCACGCGTTTGTGTTTATTGACACAAAATAAACGAATGTGGACAGACAGTGTGTAGGGACCAGCCAATTCATGTCACACGTCTAATTAGCATCAAAATAATACTGATGTATCTATGTGGTACACAAAATGAGGATCCACACGTTTGTGTCAGAAACTAGAATAAAAAACTAAAAACCAAAAAATCAACGATTATAGCTAATTTAAAACTGAATCAATTGTGTAACAGAATAGAATAAAAATGAAGTCCATTTGTGTAAATGATATTATATAACTTAATTGAATAATTAACAAACAACATATAAAGTAGCGTGACACCACGTGGCAAAATAATGGCGGTAGAATCTTAACTTTACTTAAGCTTCACCATTAAATCTGTTAGAAACTCAAAAGTTCTTCGTCACTCACTCGTCTTCTTCTTCCCCAGAAACCAAAAAAAAAACAGAGTCAGAGATCACGAAACCCTAACCCCAAAATCTAATCGCGACTCTCAAAAACAATCAACAAATCGTGTATTACTTTCTGGATTCTACAAGCATGTAAAGAAAAGTTTTTGTTTTTAAGCATGACGGATCGATTGATCGGAATGTTGACGGAATCAAAGTCGATTAGGGTTCCGAGAAGGGTCTGGTTAGGTTCACAAATATCAATCGTTCTCCTCGTGGGTGGAAACCATACCTCTTCCAGGTTTTGTACCCGTTAGATTCTTCGATTATTCTTCGCGTTTTCTTAGATCTGTTTACTAGACACTATATTCTTTTAAGCAATCGACGATTCGACTCAATGGGTATTAAGATCTTGAAGCTCAATAACTTTCGTGGACCTACGAATAGACATGCTTTATTTCGTGCTCTTATCATCGTCTCGGCTCTATCTATCGTCCCTTTGATGGAGTTACTTCCCGGTACAGAGGTAACCGGTAAAAATCTTGTCTTGGATAAGCTCGTTAAAGCGTTCCGGGGAAAATTTGAGATAGAACAGTACCCAGAAGTTGTAATTGCTGATCTTGTTGAAGAGCTTATGGGTTTAAAGCTATTGCATTTTGATTATTCTAAGGTTCTCTGTATTGGTCCTGGATCGGATTCTGTTGTTTCTGTATTGAAAGAGATTGGTTTCTCGAATGTTCGAGGATTTCCCAAGTTTTCGTTTATGAGGAGGAAGCGTATCTATGAGCTTGAGCTTAGTGGTGAAAGCTCGTTTGATTTGGTTTTCTGTAGAGATGTTGATCGAGTTGCTTCTCCTGCTCTATTGGTGTTTGAGATGGAGCGTGTTATGAAACCTGGTGGAATTGGAGCAGTTCTTACGCGTAGTAATGGTAACGGTCTTGTTAAATCGGTGACTTCGGTTTCGTTCTGGCTTAAGCAGTCTGAGATTGTGCATGTTAATTACTTGGATGAGTTCACCGTCATCGTATTCAAAAGGAATGTAACGGGAACTGATGTTCCTTATATTGGAAAGTCTCAGCTACATGGAGATTGCGAATCAGTTGATACCAATAGACCTTACATTGGGTTTATGGAACCTCTACTCGAGCAAAAACCTGTTGATTTTCCGAAATCAGTCGCTTACTTGCCCAAATTCATCGATATCTCTCTGAAGAAGAGGCTTGTCTACATTGACATTGGAGCAGGGGAGCATCTGGATGTTAAGTTAGCTCCAAACTGGTTCTTACCGTCATACCCAATCGACAGCAAAGCTTTCGACGTCTACTTTGTCGATCACAATACTTCAGTTATGATATCGTATGTCAAAAAACCCGGTGTCACCTTTGTTTACCATCCAGGTTTAGCTGATGAAAACACGACTGGAAAAAACAGAACTCCATTTCAACAGCTGGAACCATTCCCAGAAGACGAGGGATTCGATTTCCTTGCTTGGTTTGTGGAGACTGCGAAACTCGCAGACTTTGTGGTTCTTAAGATGAACACAAGCCAAGTGGAAATGAAGTTCCTATCTCTTTTATTAGAAACAGGAGCCATATGCTATGTCGACGAGCTTTTCCTTCGCTGCTCCGACCACAAAGCAGACTGCATTAAAATACTTGAAACTCTGAGAAGCAGAGGTGTGTTTGTTCATCAATGGTGGGAAGACTAAACACCAATATAACTCAAATCTCGCCTTGCCTTTGTCTTATCGTTGTTGTGTCCGTGTCTGTCTTCTTCACCTTTCTGTGTTTGTCATAGTTGGTTCTTAGCCTATACAGCTCCTGGCTAAGCACCTAATTATTAAATAAGAAGCTGAGTGTTTGTTTATCATTAAAGGGTCTTTTACGATTGTAATTGTCATTCTGATACTTTTGGCATTTTGTGCGTACACTTGTAATTGCTTGATAAGTCAATAATGAGATAGTGAATTGAATAATTGATAAGGTCCTTTCGTTTATTAAAATGGATAGGGTCCTTTCGTTTATGATGAAGCAAGATCAGCATATCTTTGATATAGAGAGAGCAGAGCACTCAAAAAAAGATAAATTACATTCATACTCAAAATCTCTCATATCACTCAAATAATCTCTATCTCGGCTACTCTATGGATTCAGATTCGGATGCGGAGTCGAAACTCATTTCTCTCATTTGTCAACTAATCACTCTCGACCCCGAACCGTATTCGGGTTTGGATACAGATTCTGATGTGGATACTCGTCGGGAATGGAAATTGATACCAATCATTATTCAGATAATCTCTCTGATTAAGTCAATGGATTTGGATTCCCAGCGGAAGCCGGAGTCGGAGCTCATGTCACTTGTTAGTCAAACAATCTCTGTCTTCAACTCAATGGATTTGGATTCCCAGCCAAAGCCGCTCTCAAAGCTCATATCACTCGTTGACCAAAAATTGAGTCGTCTCAGGCCAGAGCCTCTGTCAAATGACTTGATACCACTAGTTGATCAAACATTGGTTCTCGAGCCGGAGCCGGTGCTCATGTCACTCATTCATCAAATATGCTCCCTCGTCATGGCTATGTATTCAAAGTCGAAAAAGCTTATTTTCTTATGCCCTCAAGTTGAAGTAAAACTCGAACAAGGGAAATTTCGTGTGGCGGGGGAAGGCAGATATAACAAGTGGAAGTGTTTCCCTGGATATTGGAACGAAATGAGGTTAACAGGAGATGATACTTATTTTTTCTGCAGAGGTTGCAAAGGCCAGAACCATGAAAAATCTGAAAATGCTCCAGTTGAAATCAAGCACCCTCTTCATCCTAAACATTCTCTTCACCTTGTCTTAATGAAAAAGAGCAGCAGAACCAGGGAATGCTATTGTTGTGATGAAAATCTCAAACGCTTCTTTTATTATTGCTTGGCTTGCGATTTTGCTATGAATATATCATGTTCGGAGAAACTACCAGTCTTATCTATCGACCAACCCAAGTGGCATGAGCATACACTTGCTCTGTTTTCAAGAACCACTTCCTTGACTTGCGACGTCTGTGCCTTGGCTGATTCAATGGGTCCTTTCTATATATGTCCTCCTTGTGGCTTTGTGGTTCATCGAAGATGTACCAGCTTACCACGTGTCATAAGGATATCTCGCCATCCCCATCGTATCTCTTTTACTCATTCTTTTGATCGAGGTGATTGGACTTGTGGTGTTTGTCGCGGAAAGCTCGACAATGATTACGGGGGTTATACTTGCATCAAGAATGGATGTTCATATGCGGCTCATTCGAAATGTGCCACACAAACCAATGTGTGGGATAGAAAAGACCTTGAGGGAGTGCCAGAAGAAACTGAAGAAGAACTTGAGCCGCCGTTTGTGAGGATAAGGGATGGAATCATACAACATTTCAGTCATCAACATCATCATTTGAGACTTGATGAGGATGCAGACAGAGAGTACGACGAGGATAAGCTGTGTCAAGCATGCATCACACCAATCTATTTCGGTAACTTCTACTCTTGTATGCAATGTGATTACATTCTGCATGAAACATGTGCAAATCTTTCTCGCAAAATACATCATCCGATACATCCACATATGCTCACTCTAGTGGGAAGATATGATGGTGTTATGCACTATAAGAAGAGTTTATGTTCAGCTTGTCCTTGGGTGCGCACAACTGGTTTCTTCTATGTATGTGAACCATGTGATTTTAAGCTAGACGTGCAGTGCGCCACAATTTCAGAGCCATTAGTCCACGGAAGTCATATGCATTCTTTATTCCTAACATCCAAACCAGGAGAGAAAAGAAGAACATGTTGTGTTTGCGAAAACGAGGGATGGCGTAATACCACAGATGAAACATTCAAT